TATTAAAATCAGCAAGGGAAAAAAGCCAAGTAACATATGAAGGTAGACCTATCAGAATCACACCAGACTTCTCATCAGAAACTATGAAAGCCAGAAGGGCCTGGGCAAGCATCATGGAGACTGTAAGAGATCACAAATGTCAACCCAGACTACTATGCCCTGCAAAGCTTTCAATCAACATAGATGGAGAAAACAAAATATTCCGTGACAAAACTAAATTTACGCAATATCTATACAGCAAACCAACCCTACAGAAGATACTAGAAGGAAAACTCCAATCCAATGAAAACGAATTCACCCAAGAAAACAGGGCATACAAATAATATCCCAACAAAAATGAAAAGAAAACAAGCAATGAAACAGGGTAAGATCATCGACTCCATTACAAAAGGAACTAACATGCATTGGTCAATATTATCTATCAATATTAATGGATTCAACTCACCAATAAAAAGACACAGGCTAAAAGAATGGTTACGGAAAGAGGACCCAAAATTCTGTTGCATCCAAGAAACACACCTATGCAACAAAGATAAACACTACCTTAGAGTAAAGGGCTGGAAAAATGTTTTTCAAGCAAATGGTTCCAGAAAACAAGCTGGAGTAGCCATCCTAATATCTAATAAAATAGACTTTCATCCAAAGTTAATCAAAAAAGATAAGGAGGGCCACTATATTCTCATCAAAGGAAAAATCCAACAAGAGGACATCACAATTTTGAATATCTATGCCCCAAATACAAGAGCACCTACATTTGTAAATGAAACAATATTAAAGTTTAAATCATACATTGATCCTAATACCTTAATAGTGGGAGACTTCAACACCCCACTCTCATCAAGGGACAGATCAACCAGACAGACACCAAATAGGGAAATAAAAGCACTCACAGAATCCCTAAATCAAATGGACCTAATAGACGTCTACAGATCTTTTCACCCAAACACAAAAGAGTACACCTTCTTTTCAGCACCACATGGAACCTTCTCCAAAATAGACCATATAGTTGGTCACAAAGCAAGCCTCAACAGATACAAAAGGATTGAAATAATCCCTTGTATACTATCTGACCACCATGGACTAAAGCTGGACATCAACAACAACAGAAACAACAAAAAGCCGACACGCACATGGAAACTGAACAATTTACTACTCAATGACAGCTGGGTCAAGGAAGAAATAAAGAAAGAAATTAAAGACTTTCTAGAATTCAATGAAAATGAAGGTACAACATACCCAAATTTATGGGACACATTGAAAGCAGTGCTCAGAGGAAAATTTATAGCACTAAGTGCCTACAAGAAGAAATCCATAACATCACATACAAACAACTTAATGGCCCAACTGAAAAACCTAGAAAAAAAAGAAGCAGATACACCCAAGAGGAGCAGAGGGCTGGAAATAATCAAACTAAGGGCAGAAATCAATCAATTAGAAACAAATAAAATTATCCAAAGAATCAATGAAACAAAAAGCTGGTTCTTTGAGAAAATTAACAAGATAGACAAATCCTTAGCCAAACTAACTAAAAAGCAGAGAGAAACTATCCAAATCAGCAAAATCAGATAGGAAAATGGGGACATAACTACAGACACTGAGGAAATCCAAACGATTATTAGGTCATACTACAAAAGCCTATTTGGCACAAAATTTGAAAATCTAAATGAAATGGATAACTTTCTTGACAGATTCCATCTACCAAAATTAAGTCAAGATCAGGTAGAAAGACTGAATAGCCCTATATCTCCCAAGGAAATTGAAGCAGTCATTAACAGTCTCCCCTCCAAAAAAAGCGCTGGACCAGATGGCTTCAGCGCAGAATTCTACAAGACCTTCAAAGAAGTACTAACACCAATTCTCCTCAAACTATTCCACAAAATAGAAATAGAAGGAACACTACCAAACTCATTCTATGAAGCCATAGTCACTTTGATACCTAAACCACACAAAGATCCAACAAAAAAAGAGAACTTCAGACCTATCTCTCTTATGAACATTGATGCAAAAATACTCAATAAAATACTTGCAAACCGAATCCAAGAACAAATCAAAGATATCATCCACCATGACCAAGTAGGCTTCATCCCAGGAATGCAAGGATGGTTCAACATACGGAAATCCATCAATGTAATCCACCACATAAACAAAATGAAGGAGAAAAACTACAGGATCATCTCCTTAGATGCTGAAAAAGCATTTGACAAAGTCCAACACCCATTCATGTTTAAAGTCTTGGAGAGATCAGGGATACAAGGCACATACCTAAAGATAGTAAAGGCAATATACAGCAAGCCTATAGCCAACATCAAACTCAATGGAGAGAAACTTAAATCAATCCCACTGTAATCAGGGACAAGACAAGGCTGCCCACTCTCTCCATATCTCTTCAACATTGTACTTGAAGTCCTAGCCAGAGCAATAAGACAACTAAAGGAGATCAAGGGGATACAAATCGGAAAGGAAGAGGTCAAAGTGTCACTATTTGCAGATGATATGATAGTATACATGAGCGACCCCAAAGATTCAACCAGAGAACTTCTTCAGCTGATAAACACCTTCAGCAAAGTGGCAGGATACAAAATCAACTCAAAAAAATCAGAATCCCTCCTGTATACCAAAGACAAAAGGGCCGAGAAAGAAATTAGGGAAACAACACCCTTCACAATAGCCACTAATAACATAAAGTACCTCGGTGTGACTCTAACCAAGCAAGTGAAAAACCTGTTTGAGAAAAACTTCAAGTCTTTGAAGAAAGAAATTGAAGATCTCAGAAGATGGAAAGATCTCCCATGCTCATGGATTGGTAGGATTAACATTGTGAAAATGGCCATCCTGCCAAAAGCAATCTACAGATTCAATGCAATTCCCATCAAAATACCAACTCAATTCTTTACAGACCTTGAAAAAAAGATTCTCAGCTTCATATGGAGAAACAAAACACCCAGAATCTCCAAAACGATCCTGTACAACAACAGATCATCTGGAGGTATCTCCATTCCCCATCTCAAGCTGTACTACAGGGCAACAGTAATAAAAACTGCATGGTATTGGCATAGAAACAGAAAGGAGGATCAGTGGAACTGCATAGAAGACCCAGAAATAAACCCACACACCTATGAATACTCAATATTTGACAAAGAAGCCAAATCCATTCAATGGAAAAAAGACAGCATCTTCAACAAATGGTGCTGGACCAACTGGATGTCTACATGCAGAAAAATGAAAATAGATCCATATTTATCACCCTGCACAAAACTAAAGTCCAAGTGGATCAAGGACCTCAACATAAAACCAGATACTCTAAATCAGGTGGAAAAAAAAGTGGGGAACAGCCTAGAACTCATTGGCACAGGAGACAACTTCCTGAACAGAACACCACCAGTACAGGCTCTAAGAGCAACAATCAATAAATGGGACCTCATGAAACTGAAAATCTTCTGTAAAGCAAAAGACACTGTCATCAAAACAAATAGACAGCCTACAGATTGGGAAAGAATCTTCACCAACCCTTTATCTGACAGAGGGCTAATATCCAGTATATATAAAGAACTAAAGAAGCAGAAAAGCAACAAACCAAGTAATCCACTTAAAAAATGGGGAACAGAGCTAAACAGAGAATTCTCGAAAGAGGAACATCGAATGGCAGAGAAACACTTAAAGAAATGTTCAACCTCATTAGCCATTAGGGAAATACAAATCAAAACGACCCTGAGATTTCACCTTACACCCATCAGAATGGCCAAGATGAAAAACTCAAGTGATAGCACATGCTGGAGAGGTTGTGGAGAAAAGGAAACCCTCCTCCATTGCTGGTGGGAATGTAAACTGGTTCAACCACTTTGGAAGTCAATCTGGTGCTTTCTCAGACAACTAGTAGTGCTACCTCAAGACCCAGCTATACCACTCCTAGGTATATACCCAAAATTTGCTCAAGTACACAACAAGGACATTTGTTCAACCATGTTCATAGCAGCTTTATTTGTAATAGCCAGAACTTGGAAACAACCCAGATGTCCATCAACGGAGGAATGGATACAGAAATTGTGGTATTTTTACACAATGGAATACTACTCAGCAATCAAAAAGGAGGAAATCATGAAATTTGCAGGCAAGTGGTGGGATCTAGAAAAGATCATTCTGAGTGAAGTATCCCAGAAGGAGAAAGACAAACTTGGTATATACTCGCTTATATAGACCTACAAGATATGATAAACATAATGAAATCTACACACCTAAAGAAGATAATCAAGAAAGTGGACACAGGCGAAGGTGATTAATCCTCATTTAGAAAGACAAATGGGATGTGCATTGAACTTATGACAGGAGTCTACCACAAAAGGCATCTGAAAGACTCTACCTAGCAGTGTTTCAAAGCAGACACTAAGACTCATAACCAAACCCTCCCAGAGTGCAGGGAATCATATGAAAGAAGGGAAGTTAGTATGATATGGAAAGGATAGGAGCTCTACAAGGACCAAATATATCCGGGCACAGGGTCTTTTCTGAGACTGACACTCAACCAAGGACCATCTATGGATATAACCTAGAACTTCTACTCGGATGTGGCCCATGGTAGCTCAGTAACCAAGTAGTTTTCCAAAGTAAGGGGAACATGGACTATTTCTAACAGGATCTCAAGGGCAGGCTGTTTGACCCCCCCCCCCTCCCGGGGAGGAGCAGTCTGTTAGGCCACAGAGGAGGACTTTGCATCCAGCCCTGAAGATACCTGATAAAACAGGGTCAGATGAAAGGGGAGGAGGTCCTCCCCTATCAGTGGACTTGGAAAGGGGCAGGGAGGAGACCAGGGAGGGAGTGTGGGGTTGGGGAGGGAATGAGGGAGCGGGATACAGCTGGGCCACAGAGTTAACAAAATGTAACTAAAAAGAAAAATAAAATAAAAAAAGAAGATAAATAAAATATTAATTTGGGATTTCTTTTCACTAACTTTCATAATTATTCATTAGAATTAATATATTTTAAAACTACTTTTTCCTCTTTCATGGAAGATTGTAAACACAGTACCCCATTACCACAAATTATGCAACCATGCTTCCCTCATTTGAGGTAATTGTAGGGTCAGTACATCTGGAATGCATTGGATAAGCTTCGCCCTGGAAAAACCACCACCATGGTCATGTTGTTTTCATTGCCAGGTAAATACAGAATATTCATTTATATGTGAGCAGTAATTTGCATTTATAGAGCATTTGGTAATTCATAAATTATAATCAAGTATTGATCATTTTAAATATGCTAAGAAGTAGCATAAACGTCTTATCATCTTAATTTCACAAGTGAGGAATTAAAAAATCAGATATTTGCACAAATACAGACTGTAAATTACTTTAATAGTCAAATTAAATTATGGGTTTAAATATTCATTGACATATGTCTGAATCATATGGATAGGCAAGTTTGGGATGTTTCAAAAATGGAAATAATGCATGAGAATAACTGTCTAATAAAGGATGCAGCTCTGTGCAATTCTAGCATCACAGAACTAAAACTTAAAAGTGTTTGTCCCACTTCAGACAAGTTAGTTTTTGGTCACAAAGACCTGGAGTTTTTAAATATTCTTTCTTTTTATAAAGATTAAAACTAGGTCTTCTCCATGCATGGTCCTTGGCTGAGAAATCTGCAGGGCCTGCAGGGTCCAGTTATTTTTACTCTGTTGCTCTCCTTTTGGAGCTTCTGTCCCCTCCAGGTCTTTCTATTTCCCCATTCTTTCATAAGGTTCCCTGCATTCTGCCCAAAGTTTGGCTATGAGTTTCAGCCTCAGCTTCCAAACCTTGAGTAACAGAGTGTTTCAGAGGCCCCCTGTGGTAGGCTCCCTTCCTGTGCCATGTCTTCAACCCCTTCTGAGTTGATCACATTGGTCCTTTCTCACGGTCTTCCTTGTTGTTTACTTGCTTTAGGTGTATGGATTTTAGTGTGTTTATCCTGTGTTATACATCTACTAATCCTTTATGAGGGAGTGTATACCTTGTGTGTTTTTCTGCTTCTGGGCTACCTCAATCAAGATAATCTTTTCTGGTTCCTGCCATTTGCCCACAAATCTCATTATTTCCTTGTTTTTAATAGCTGAGTAACATTCCACTGTGTAAGTGTACCACAATTTCTGTATTTGTTCCTCCATTGAGGAACTTCCAGGATCTTTCCACTAAAACCTTCTAAGATGTAGCCCGTAGAATCAGTCTCCAAGCAGGAGCTCTGTCTGGCAGGAACTCAGTGGCAGGCTCTCTGATCACCTCCCAGGGGTCCCAGATGCACTCTTCCCAGGCCACAGAGAATGACAATTCAACCAGTCCTGATGAGACTTGATAGGCTAAGGTCAAATAGAAGAGGAGGAGGTCCTCCCTTATCAGTAAAATAGGGGAGGGGCATAGAGGGGAGAAGAGGGAAAGAGGGTGGGATTGGAGACAAATGAGGGGGCCACAGCCAGGTTACAAAGTGAATAAATTGTAATAAATAATAATAATTAAAATTTACTGTCTCTGACATGAACTTAATGGCTGACTTTTTGATCACCTCCCCCTGGCAGGTGCAGCCTTGCCAGGCCACAGAGGACGACAATGCAGACCGTCCTGATAAGACCTTATGAGCTAGGGTCAGATGGAAAGGAGGAGGACCTCTTCTATCAGTGGACATGGAGAGGGTATGGGAGGATATGAGGGAAGGAGGGTGGGATAGGGAGGGAATGAGAGAGGGGGCTACAGCTGGGATACAAAGTGAATAAATAGTAATTAATATAAAAATTTTTAAAAAATTGAAAAATTTAAAATTAAGTAAAATAGAAAAGCCAGAAAAAAAAAGAAAATAGATTAAAACTATGCAAACTTATACCAGTGTCTACATAGTTACAATTGTAAAGTGAGAATAAGTTAGAAAGTTTCTGTTTATCAGAACACTGCATTTATATTGTAAATAACTGTAACCACTTTGCTGTGCCACTATGGAGTAATGATGGAGAAGAGAGAGCCTTTAAAAATCGCAACTCTGCAGTCATGGTTCAGTAAAACCATTGCTATATGTCTTGCTAGAAATATAATTTGAATACAACTTTCTTTTAAAAGGTAGGTTAATTAGTTTATTCATGTTTCTACCTCTTCTTATGTTATTAAAATTCATTTTTAAAGAAGAAATTAAATAGCTGAATTGTCCGACCCACAAAAGAACTTATAAGGATGATGTATATTTAATCAAAAATAACTATTTACCAGCTTAAATTATTGTATTTAGTTATGATGATTACTTCAAAAACATGACATATTTTGATTTATTTAAAACTGAGATTTCTGTCTGAGACTTATTTGAATATTCTGCAAATATTATTGATTTTTATAAAAATGTTAGCCCATCATTTATAATACTTATAAGAAGCATTATATACATTTTCAATTGAGTAAAATCATCTGCTAGATAAGCATAGTTTACATTCAATTTAAATAATTATTGCTACCTAAAACATACCTGTATATTATGTAATAATAATAAAGTGTAATGTGCTAAGCAAATACTCAAATTTATAATGCTTGATATTAATGCCAGTAGATGAATGGTTAAAACAATCACTACTAATGATAAACCAAGAGTTTTCCCACTGTAATCTCTTCCAAAACAAGAATGACTGGATAAGTTTGTTAATTAACAGAAAACCTCTTCTATTCTCAAGGGAAAATAAAATGTTCTTTTTTATTTCTTAAATCTTGTCACTTTTTTTTTAACAGGAATGTTCTTTATTCACTCATTTATTTCTTTATTTAATAATTTTTAGCCTGCTCCCGGCCCCTTCCTCCCTTTTCCCTTAGTCACACTCTCACATGCTCATCTCCTTATCACTCCCACAGAGAAATTAAGGCACCCACCCTGGCCTCCCATGTTTCAGCAGGGCCCACTGCACCATCTCCCACTGAGGTCAGACAAGGCAGGCCAGCTAGGGGAAAGAGATCCAAAGGCAAGCCTTTTGGAATTTTTCTTGATACATCCTTAATTAAAAAAAAAATACTCTAATTTTCATTTTACTAAAACTACAGGCAAAGATGGCATCATGTACTCATTTTAAACATACCTTTACATATAGTTTAATTTATTTTTCTTTTGCTTGGTTTGATTTGTTTTGCAGAAAACTTTTTACTTTGTAGCCTGATAATGACCTTGATCAACCCTTCAGCCTCTGTCTTCCATGTTCCAAGATTACAGGTACAAACCACAGTATCTGTCTCCAGTGTTCTGCTAGAGCTGGCCTGCAGCTTTCCTACAGAGTAAACTAATCTGGGTCTATGGCGGCTAACAGAAACTAAACCACCAACCAAAGAGCATGTGCATGTACAGCTGGACCTGGCCCCCCTAGACATATGAAGCAGATGTGCAGCTTGTTCTTCATGTGGTCTTTTCAGAATTGGAGGAGGCACTGTCTTTGACTCTGTTGCCTGCCTTTGGATCCCTTTCCCATAGCTGGGCTGCCCTGCCTGACCTCACTGGGAAAGGGTGTGCTTAGTTCTGTTGCAACTTGTGTGCGGGTGGGTTGGTACATATGGGAAGCCTTCCCTACTCAGAAAAGAGAAGAGAGTTTTGGAGAAGAGGTCTGACGGTGGGACTGGGAGGAGAGGAGGGAGGGGGCTGCTATTATTTTAATAAATGAATTAATGAAGAAAAAGTTTGTTTCTGTTTTCTTTATTTATTCCTTATCCTATTTCTTCTTCTTCTTCTTCTTCTTCTTCTTCTTCTTTTCTTCTTCTTCTTCTTCTTCTTCTTCTTCTTCTTCTTCTTCTCCTTCTCCTCCTCCTCCTCCTCCTCCTCCTCCTCCTCCTCCTCCTCCTCCTCCTCCTCCTCCTTCTTCTTCTTCTTCTTTACTATTTGGATTTTATAGACCCTATCTAAATCAAAAGATTAAATATTTACTTTCCTCACTCATAGTATATAATACTTACAAGCAGATATTAGCCATATACTAATAATCAGCCATACAGCCCTAAAGAAGCTAAACACAAGAGGGATCCTAGGATGATGTTTAAACATCATTCAGAATGGCAAACAGGATAAACACCAAAAGCAGTGGAAGAGAGGGAACCTGATGGGAGCCTAAGATAGAGGGTGCTCTGAAATGATTCACCCAACAGGGGATCAAAGCAGATTCTAAGAAGCAGTTAACTGCGCTGTGATTTGATGTTGCAGCCTTGACAGTCCACCAAGGAAGAGGATCCAACAGTCCCGATGAGACTTAACAAGCTATGGGCAGATAGCAGGTCCCTTTCAGTGGACCTAGGGCAAGAAGATGGGAGGAAGAGGGAGGCAGGGTGGTACTGGGGGAAGTTGACAGAGGGGGCTACAATCTGGGTATATAATGAATAAATTGTGAAGAAAAAATAAAATTAAAATTTACCTTTACATTGTTTTTTTCTCTCGTTCTGTTTATCTACACTTTTATGCTTTCTTGTTTCTTATCTAATTGTGTGGGCCAGCTTTTTTCGTTTTTTTATTCTATTTTTGTTTACATTAAAAATGTTTTTTGTTAATTTCATACATGAATACAATGTATGTAGAGCTCATTTGCCTTCCCATCAACACTTTTTGGATCCTACGACACATACATTTCTTCTTCTCTGAATTCTTTCTCCTTCTTTCCTTTCTTCCTTCCTTCCTTCCTTCCTTCCTTCCTTCCTTCCTTCCTTCCTT